GGAGCCACTGCTCCTCCTTGAACTTAATCCACATCTTTCAAGTTCTTTTCTAAGCTCTGCTTGGAAGACTCGTCTCCTTCTCCTTCATTATTCCCTCTGAAAATCCTCCTGTCTTTCAAGGATAATCTCTAAAATGCCATCCTACATTCCAATGTTTTAGAGACAGAGCAGGGAAAGAAGTTAAGGAATAAAGTAGGGAAACCAGCTAATAATGACCAACATCTTTCTCCTGGCATCAATTCTGAGTTGAGGAGTGGCAAGGAGTGAAGCTAGACAAGGAGCTAAGTATGTCTCACATAAGGAAGGGTTTGTATGCCATGAAATGTTTTAAATATTTCTACATTAAATGGGGTGCTCCTTAAGCATATTGTGTAGAAAAATGGCATAGATGATTTGCAGTTTGATACACATCCAAAATCCTTCCTTAGATCATGGACCTAGTCTGCCTTTGTTGTTGTTGTTGTTGTTATATGTCGTCGAGTCAGACCTGACTCATATCATCCCCTCCTTGCATTTCCAAGGCAGTATCACTATGGAAGTAAATTGCCCCATCTTCCTTCCTGCCTTAACAGCCTTTATTTCTATTACTTTAGTATGAGGCCCAAGGATCTCTGGTGGCATAGTGCCTAAGCCATTTGACTGCTAGTCAGAAAGCTAGCGGTTCAAACCCACCAGCCACCCCATGGAAGGAAGACTGGACAATCTACTTCTGTAAGGATTTGCTGCCTCAGAAACCCAAAAGGGGTTGCTATGAGTTGGAATTGACTAATGGCAGTGTGTTTGGTTTTTGGTTTTTTGGAGTATGAGGCCCACAAACTCATCACATAGAAATATCTCTTTCATGAACACAGTTGATGAACTCACTCTGGAAAAACAAGGCCCAATTTACCTCTCATCTTCAAAAATGGAGAGGGCATGTTTTTTTTAAGGGCGATTGTGAGGATTACTGCACTAAGATAACACCCAGCTTACTGTTTTTCACTTAGAAGACACTCAATTTTCTTCATTCCTTCTGATACTTTAAGCTATTTAATTACAATCATATGTGTACTCCTGCTGTAAGACTGAACACTCTGAAGCTGTCTACTGTTCTGGTTCTAATGGAGGAAGGGAGATTTTACATCCTAAGGGACATTTAGCCATGTCCAGAAATGTTTGAATGTCTAGCCTGGAAGAAGGAAATACTATTGTCATCTGGTAGGTAGAAGCCAGGGGAGCTCTGGTAGCATAGTGCCTAAGGCACTTGACTGCTAACCAGGAAGCTGGAGGTTCAAACCCACCAGCCACTCCTCAGAAGGAAGGTTGGGCAATCTACTTCCGCAGTGATACCGCCTCGGAAACCCAAGGAGGGGTCGTTATGAGTCGGGTCCGACTCAACGGCACATAACAACAAGAACAACAGGTTGAAGCCAGAGCTCCTGTTCAATATCCTACAGTAAGAAAATATCCAACTCAAAACATCCAGAGTGATGAGGTTAAGAAACTGATCTAATTGTTAAAGGCCCGGTAACAATTAGCAGAGTTGCACATCATAGAAGGCATTCAAAATTCCTAAAAGTGACCTAAAACCCCTTTTCTGTGGGCAAATTTATAAATTGCTATTAACTCACTGCCATCAAGTTGATTCCCACTCATAGTGACATACTCCCCCCAGGTTTCTGAGATCACAAATCTTTACAGAAGTAGAGTGCCCCATCTTCCTTCCAAAGAGCGGCTAGAGTTTGAACCACTGACCTTCTGGTTAGTAGCCAAATACCTTATCCTCTATGCCACTAAAACCAAAAAAAAAAAAACCTCACTGCCACTGAGTCAATTCTGACTCACAGTGACCCTCTTTGGGTTTCCGAGGTGGTAAATCTTTACAGAGTAGATTACCCAGTCTTCCTTCCGCGGCTAGTGGGTTTGAGCCGCCAACTTTCTGGTTACCAGTCAAATGCCTTAGGCACTACACCACTAGCTCCTTAAATTGCTATTAGGGAGGTAAAATTAAAGTAGAAACATGTATGGTGTAGGAAAATTGGAAGGTAGCCCAGGTTTATGAAACTTAATAAATTTGGGGAAAACAAATTTCCTTTTGTATTTAGAGGTGACCAATTTAAAAGCAAAAATTCTCTTAATCAGCAATCTTCTCTAATGAAATGCAGCAGGATTTACTTTTATATCAAAGGAGCTCCCCAGATAGTTAAAGAATGCAACCCAATATAATTAAAAGATCACTGGTAAGCAGAATGGACCGCCTTGGCTGCATTCTGGGAGATTTCAGTTAATAATCTAGAACCTAGTGACATTTTAATGAGACGTTTAAACTTACTAGTCCAGAACTCCAAATTTATCAATGTTTTTTACCTAGACTTGCATTTCAAAGTAATGAAGTGATGAGTAAGAATCAAAAGAAATGTTTGTGATTAGGAAAAATTGTTTTACATATAGTTCAAGTAACAATTTCAGAAACAGAAAGAACGAATAAACTATGAACATTTAGCCAGGCAAGAAAAGGACTTAAGGTCAAGGAAGGGATGGAGCTATAGGCAGGAGATCTGAAAAAACCTATAGCCCCTTTACCTAACCACACCCAGATCCAGGTATCAATGAAAAAGTACACACAGCAGCGCAGCACACAGTGAGTTGAGCATTTTCATTGCTTCTGAAGGAATCTACCCAGAGGTGCCTTGGAAGAAAGTCTGGCAATCTGCTGCCAAAAGATCACAGCTTTAAAATGGCTTGTTTTTGTTTTGTTTTGTTTTGTTTTTTGGCTAGAGGAAAAAAGTATTGCTATGGCCTCTGTTTTTTCTCAATGAAAATGCTCAAATCACTGTGCAATTTGTTTTTGTCAAATCAAAATCTTTGCTAAAGTCAGGTAGGAGAAGCCAGTTTTCATCTGTCGTCGTCGTTTTTAGGTGCTAACAAGTGGACTCCAACTCATAGCGACCCTACATACAACAGAACGAAACACTGTCTAGTCCGGTGCCAACCTCACAATCCTTACTACACCTGAACACATCGTTGCAGCCACTGTGTCCGTCCATCTCATTGAGGGCTTTCCCCTTCTTCGTTGACCCTCCATTTTACCAAGCATGTTATCCTTCTCCAGGGAATGGTCCCTTCTGACAACATGACCAAAGTAGGTAAGACGAAGTCAGGCCATTCTCACTTCCAAGGAGCATTCAGGCTGTACTTCTTCCAGGACAGATTTGTTAATTCTTCTGGCAGTCCATGGTACTTTCAGCATTCTTCACCAATGCCACAGCTCAGAAACATCAACTCTTCTTCAGCCTTCCCTATTCATTGTCCATCTTTCACATGCACATGAGGCAATTGAAAATACCATGGCTTAGGCACACCTTAGTCTTCAAAGAAACATTCTTGCTGCTCGTCACTTGAAAGGGGCCTTTTGCAGCAGATTTTCCCAATGCAATACATCTTCTGATGTCTTGACTGCTGCTTCCATTGGTGTTGATTGTGGAAACAAGTAATATGAAATCTTTGATAACTTCAATCTTCTCTCCAGTTATCTTGGTGCTGCTTATGGCTTTTTTTGTTTTCCTTATGTTGAGTTTTTACCTAGTACCCTATATTCTTTAAAGTCCTATTAAAGATGATGATCCTGATTACTATGCTTCTAGTATATAAGGAAATGGCTCTTACTAACATTATTGTTATTGCCAATAGCAACACAGGGTACCAAGAGAAAAATGTAAATTTGATTATTCTTCTAAGATAGTTTTTTTTTTTAAAAAAAAAAAGGAAAAAAAAAGTAACTCTACTGTCAAAACATAAGGTGCTTTCTTATTATTTCTCTATTATGCAGGCTGGTTCAGATACTATATTTGGATGAAAAGGGGAGGAGCAGGTTACACATCCCCTCTCATCCAGGACATATAAACAAAAGCCCTTGAAGGACGTGGTGCATGAGTCTTCTTACCCATCTATTAGTTTATCAAGAAATTAAATTCCTTCAACCAAAACAAAAAAACAAACAACAA